ATTTCTTTGTCCAAAAGGTGGAAGAGGCAACAAGGGGATCAGATCTGACCCTAAGCAACAGGGATGACCTGGTAAATGGAGTGCAAGTGGTGGGATCCTTAGGTGGGAGTGATCATGTTCTCCTAGAGTTTCTTATACAGTGGAAAGGAGAAGCAAGGCATAGTCAAACACTCGTTCTAGACTTTAGAAGAGCTGTTTTCAACAAACTTAGAGAAACAATGGGAATGATCCTGTGTTCAGCAATATTAAAGGAGAAGGGAGTTCAGGATGGATGGGAGTTTCTCAAAAGGGAGATACTGAAGGCACAATCTCAAACTGTTCCAATGAGGAGTAAAAATAGGAGGTGTCTCAAGAAACTGAGTTGGATGACAAAAGAATTTTCAACTAAAAGTTTTAAATGGGAGATGTATAAAAAATGGAAAAGGGACAAAATCACCAAAGAGTAATTCAAACAAATAGCTAGCACATGTAGGGGTAAAGTCAGGAAAGCCAAAGCACAGAATGAGCTCAGGCTTGCTAGAGGGGTTAAGAACAATAAAAAAAGGCTTTTATGGGCATGTCCATAGCAAAAGAAAGAAGGAAATGGTAGAACCACTGCTCAGAGAAGATGGAAAAATGCTAAAAGAGGACAGAGAAAAGGCAGAACTACTCAACACCTTCTTTGCCTCATTCTCACAAAAGGAAAAGGGTGTACAACTTGAAGAAAATGGGGCAGAGGACACAATATGCAGCATAGAATAAGTAAAGAGGTAGTACAGGAATACCAGGTCAACCTAAATGAATTTAAGTCTCCAGGACCAGATGAACTACATTCAAGGATATTAAAAGAACTGGCAGAGCCACTAGCCATAATCTATGAAAACTGCTGGAGAACAGGAGAAGTCCCAGCAGACTGGAGGAGTTGAAAACATTGTCCCCATCTTCAAAAAGGGGAAAAAAGAGGATCCCAACAACTATCGCCCAGTTAACCTGACATCAGCACCAGGAAAGATTCTAGAACAGTTCATTAAACAGAGAGTCTGTGAACATTTAGAAGGGAATGCCATAATCACTAAAAGTCAACATGTGTTTTTGAAAAAACAAGTCATGCCAAACTAATCTGTTCTCTTTTTTTGATTAAATTATCAGCTTGGTAGATGAAGGGAATGTGGTAGACATAACATATCTTGATTTCAGTAAGGCTTTTGATGAATTCTCCCATGATATTCTTGCAAATAAGAGAGTAAAATGTGGGCTAGACAATACAACTGTTAGATGGAATAGTAATGGGTTGACTGACCAAACCCAAAAGGTGCTCAGCAATGGCTCCTCTTCATCCTGGAGACAGTGACCAGTGGGGTGCCACAGGGTTCTGTCTTGGGCCCAGTGCTATTCAACATCTTTATCAATGACTTGGATGAAAAAATAGGGGTTATGCTTCTCAAATTTAAGATGATACCAAATTAGGAGGAGTAGCTAATACCCCAGAGGACATGATAAAAATTCAAAATGAAATTAATAGATTAGAAAGCTGGGCCAAAGCTAACAAAATGAATTTCAACACAGAGAAATGTAAGGTATTGCACTTAGGACAAAAAAAAAATGAAATTCATAGATATAAGATGGGGGACACCTGTTTTAATGAGACTATGTGTGAAAGGGATCTAGGAATCCTAGTAGATCATAACTTGAACATGAGTCAACCGTGTGATGTGTCAGCTAAAAAGGCCGATGCAATTTAAGTTGCAGGAATACAAGTATAGTATCCAGATCAAGGGAATTAATAGCGCCACTGTATTCTTCTTTGGTCAGGCACCATTGGAATACTGTGTCCGGTTCTGGGCACCACAATATAAAAAGGAAAACCTGGAGTGTGTCCAGAGGAGGGCAACTAAAATAGTGACGGGTCTGGAAACTATACCTCATGGGGAATGACTTCGGGAACTGGGTATGTTTAGCCTGGAGAAGAGATGGTTAACAGGTGATATGATAGCCCTGTTTAAATATTTGAAAAGATGTCATATTGAGGAGGGAGCAAGCTTTTTTTTTCCTGCTGCTCTAGAGACTAGGACTTGGAACAATGGATGCAAGATACAGGAAAAGAGATTCCACCTCAACATTAGGAGGAATGTCCCAACAGTGAGAGCTGTTTGATAGTGGAAAACTCTCCCTTATAGTGTGGTGGAGTCTCCTTCTTTGGAGGTTTTTGAATGACCATCTTTCAGGGATGCTTTGATTTTGATTTCCTGCATGGCAGGGGGTTGATCTGGACCCCCCTTGTGGGAATGGTTTTCACACTACAGGACCAAATGTTTCTCCATCCCAAAATGATTAAATCATGTGCATCCCACAAAAGCGAGCAAATGCTCAAATGATTTTCACAGAATGAGCCCTGGCTTTGGGGGAAGGTGCATGTGTCCCTGCCTTTCCTCAGTAACTGTTTCTTTCAGAGCTGTAGCTAGGAGGGAAGGGATTTTGGACTTCACCTCCCAGAAGCCTCAGCCATGTTGGCTAATAGTCTGAGTTTCTGGGAGCTGATGTCCAAAATCAGGGGTAGGCAACCTTTCCCCTTTAAGGGCCGAGGGACTTCAGCTCCCAGAATCCCAGGAGCTATTGGCCAACATGGGACTATTGGCCAACATGGCTGAGGCTTCTGGGAGCTGAAGTCCCTCAGCCCTTAAAGGGGAAAGGTTGCCTACCTCTGTCCAAAATCCTTTAAAGGGGACAGTTTGTTCATTCACTCTCCTCTCTCTCTCTCTGCTCTTGCATCAGCTGTTTATTTTAAGAGCTCTGGCTATGAGGAAGAGCAGCAGTGGAAACAAACTTCTCTCTCTCTCATTCCTGCTATGTTCCTGACTTCCCTCAGCAGCTGCTCCTTTAAGTGCCTTGGCTGGAGGAGGTGAGACATTCACACACACACACACACACAGAGGCATGGGAGGAAGAAGCAAGCTTTTTCTCTTGTGTGTCTGTGTGCCTCTGCCTTCCCTTAAGCTATTATCCCTAAGGGGAAAATCTGACAACAAGAACAGAAATGGGAAGAATCTCGCAAATGGCTTTCACACTATAGCAATTGTGCAAAAAAGTGAATTCATGAATGAAATGGAAATGAAATCAGAGTATTTTTCAAAAAATGACTATTTCCTGGTTCATGTCACTTTCTTGTCAGATTCTAAGCAGTTTGTGTGCAACATCATATGAAAACCATTTACACAATTGCTGCTAATACGCTGCATAAGTGCAGGTTCTTACCAGTTTAAACTAACAATCTTCCCTACGTAATAAACTCCCAAGTTCTGTACAAGTTTTTGCATTCAGTACAGAATCTGACAGTGATAGTGATAACATACACATACATTGGGGTAGAAGCCAGAGACATGGCTGTGTTATTCTGGAATTTATGCAAAGGGATTGTAGCACCTTTGAGACTAATTGTGCAAAAGAGGTTGTAGCATAAGTTTTCGTAGACTTGGTCTACTTCCTCAGATGCATGATTAATTCACTCCATGCTTCATGAACAGCAACTGAAAGGAGACAAGTCAATAGGAAAGACTGGGTAACTAAATGTTTAACAGAAGTGTTCAGTATACATCAAAAGAAGAGAGCCATCATGGCGTAGTGGTTTAAGTGTTGGACTACAACTCTGGAGACCAGGGTTTGATTCCCCATTCAGCCATGAATCTCACTGGGTGACCTTGGGCAAATCACATTCTCAGCCTCAGGGGAAGGCAATGACAAATCTCCTCTGAACAAATTGTGCCATGAAAACCTCATGATAGGTTTCCCACAGGGTCACCATAAGTCAAAAACAGCTTGAAGGCACACAACAACAATATAGTGATCCATTGGTATCTGCTGAGGTTTGGTTCCAGGACCCCCCCCCCCCAATGGATACCAAATTCCATGGATGTTCAAGTCTCATTAAATACAATGGCACAATAAAATGGAGACCCTTATATAAAGTGGGGAAATTAAGGTTTGCTTTTGGGAATTAATATAATTTAAAAATACTTTAATGTCATGGATGCTTGAATCTGTGGATAAAAAAAAAAATATCTGTGGTTATGGAAGGCTGACTGTACTAAAGTGGGTTCTAGCTATTAAAGAACCATGGATCTGTATTATGCATCTCTTGATTATACTTTCATTTTTCATCAATATCAATGTCCACCACTAAGGCTAATGCCACTCCCACATAACTTGTTCATACAGTTAACATTCACCCACACCTCTCTCTCTCTCACACACATCTTATTTATGAAGAACTCATGTGAAGCAGCCTTATTATCTCAAAACAAATGAAGGACAGCATTTAAGGCATATTACTGTTTAAAGCATCCCAGGGTTTTTTGCTTTCCACAGCTTGGACTGCTCAAACACTTGCAAGTCTCTCATATTTCTCTATTTTTTATTACCACCATGCAATGAGAGAGGGAAGACATCTGTGATAGGCAAACACAATTGATCATCTAAACATCATGCTTTTTTAAAAAAAATATATGACAATTTAATTAGGATAATTTATTCTACCCCCATGACTTTACTGTGTTTGGGACTCCAAGTTTTAATTAAGATCTAATTCCAAAAATATATTCATTGTTCATTCATGTAAGCTGTACAAATGAGTGGGGATATGTGCAATAGGTCCACCTCTTTCTTGTCTTTCTTCCCACTCTCTAAACATGGCAGGTGAAGAGGAAATACACTGTGTCCTGAATCTATGGCAGATTTTATGTCAAGTGAAGAAAAAACTGAGAATTCCTCTCTCTAGTCTTTTGTCATCAAGAACCTTATGAAAAGACTACTAACGGGGATGTAATTGTTCACTAATTTTGTTCTCAAAGGAAACAATGAGTAATTTTAGCCATTTTCTTTGCACTGTAAGAAAGTATGTAAAAATTATGCCATTTTCAAAGATTAGTTAAAATTCACTTGCTCTGTACAAAATTTGCAGCACAGTAGAGGACTAATTCTGTGAAAAATCTGCACTTTTTTCTTCCTTTTTATGCAGAAAATAGCATCCTCTGCACAGGGAACATCATTTTCAACACTGAAAATAATAAAAAATGTTGTTTTCTCTGCAGAAAATGTGCAAATCTTGTTCAGAATCAGTCCTGACCTGTGAGGATGCTTGTCAATCCAGGAATCTTTTCATTGAGGTTTCTTGACACTTGAGAATACATTTTTTTTACCATCTCTCTCTCTCTCTCTCTATTTTTATAAAATAATAATATTACCATCTCTAATATGAAGGCAATAAAAACATCCATTTTATTCTTTCCAAGAATGTCTTTGGGGACACTGGTACATCATACCAATGTGTTATGATTGAGGGCTTTCAAAATGCACTTCAGCTGTTCTGTTGTTCTGTGTATTAGCACTTTAACAAAAGGAAGGAAGGAAGGAAGGACTGTCATCCACTTCCAAGTCTCCTCATGTCAAATATTAAGCAAACTGATTTCTTGAATGTCTCTGCCCATAAATATAAAAATATAGAGCACTGAGGGATGCATTATTTTGTTTTATTTTTGACTTAGATCTTCAAGTAGTCTGCCTCTGAAAGACAAATTACAGTTGACCCTCCAGTTCATGGGAGTTATGGGTGCAAAACCCCATGAAAGTGGAAAAGCCACAAATATGTGGGAGAACGTGGGAGGAGTGTGTGTGCATGGTCCACTTCTGGCCATGTGCACACATCCTCCCACCTTTCCCCATCCTTTGCCTGGCTGAGGGAAAATTCCCTTGACAAGCCAAAGCCTCTAACCCCCTCCCCCATGCTTTGGCCAGAGAGAAGATTCCTTTGGCCAGCCAAAGCATGGGGAAGGTGGGAGGGGCATTTGTGCACCCTTCCAGACTGCTCCCTCCCTCCTGGGCCTTTTTCCCTGAGGCAAAAAGTCTGGGAGGGTGGAGAAGAAGGACCAAGCATTTACCCTTCCTGGCTGTACTCACGAATAATCAAATCCATGAATTTTAACCTGTGAAAGTGGAGGGCTGACTGTATTCAGTACCTAAGCAACAACTATATGTGTGTGTTTTTTTGTGGACCATTTTGTGACACAAGAGTTAAAAACTTGTTGTTCTGCATCTTTAAATCATTTCTGACTTACAACAATCATAAAGTGAATCTATCAAATATTTACTTTGGCAAAATTTCTTCAGAGAGGGTTTGCTATTGCCTTTCTCTCAAGCTAAAATAATGTGACTTGCCCAAGGCCACTCAGTGGGTTTCCATGGCAGAACAAGGATCCAAGCCCTGGTCTTCCAAATACTAGTCCAAAACTCAAACCACTACACATGCTTACTCATTGTATTGTGTCTGTGTGTGTGTACCTTCAATTCATCTCTTGACTTATGATGACCCCATGAATTTCACAGAATTGTCTTAGGCAAGGATTACTCAGAAGTGGTTTTACCAGTTCCTTCCAATGAAATTTAGGGCCTAAGCAGACGGGTGGCTGTGGGCCGCCCTGTGAAGCTGCGCCGCGGGACCGAGACATCCCCATGCCTCGATCCTGCGGTGCAGCTTTGCTGCCCCTGAAAGGAGCACTAAATTAGCGCTCTTTTCACAAGTCAGTGAAAGTGCACAGCAAAAGGCTGCGGCGCATTTTCGCCGACTTTTCCACTGCAGTGCCTAGATCTCCCATAAACTTAAATAAATTAATTCAATTGCTTAGTAAAAGCCTCATTTGGAAGAACCCTATGTATGGTTGCAAAGCCATATAGCACAATCCCATCCCTTTTACTCTACATGCGTTTAAACACATTTTTAAACCTCACACTTCAGGATAGGGCATTTTACTCTCCCAGAGTCATGTTTCATTACAGAATCCAGAAAGTGTTAAACTTATGATGTAGGCATTATATGACACTGTCACCTCAAGAAGTGAAGACAGCTACTGTTGACATGTAGGAGCTTCTTTAAAGACAAAGACACCCCCCGATGAGTCAGAAGGGGTTTCTTGTTGCACTGGCCATATAAGGACATGAGAGGCCTGATTGGTTAAGCACGCGGGGGTCTGGGAGCACCTGCGCGCTTAGTCCAATCAAGTTGCTTGGTTCATATTGCAAAGTCTTGTGGTGCCTGTAATCTCCCAAGATTTGGGATGAGAGTTTGTTCTTTATACCTCTGCACTGCCACATGGCAGCAGCCATTTTTAGAGCTTCAACTGAGCGAGTCACATTGCTCTACTCTGTCCTCTGGCTGATTGCTAGGCGTTGGCCTAGCTTTTATTCTCAGCTTTTGCTGCATTTGGCTTTTGCTGATTTTGCTCTTTCTTTTACAACAGGGAGTGTTCAGTGAGTCCCTCCCTGAGTGTTTTCGAAGGCCGAGTGAGCCCTTCGGGCCGGTCCCCTCTGGCTTGCAGGGGCCTCCACATCTCCAACACTTGGAGAGCTGTTTTATCTGAGGTGGGTGCTGCAGAAGGCATCCTCATCGGGTGCACGGACCCGGTACTGCATTTCAGGCCCAACGGCGCCCCGGCAGCACCGGTCTGTTAAGGTCGGCCCCCCATCACTGGTTTGGGAGGCTATTACACCTCTCCCCAGCAGTGAATGTGTTGGAAGACAGCCCTCCCAAACCAGTGATGGGGGGCCGACCTTAACAGGTTGGGGTTCCATTTAGGACCCTTGGTGGACACCTTCCCCCTGGTGTGGTGGCCAGTGATGCTTCCTGGCAGTTTGCACCTCTTGCTAAGGCTTGGGGAAGGGTGGTCTTTGGCCTGGTGGGAATCATCCAAGGTCAGGTGATTGTGTTTTGGACACGTGTTCCACTCACTCAGTGGAGTGATGCCCTGCAGTAAGGCCCAATCCAAGAGGTGTGCAGCTTCAGCTGCACCCAGCTCTGGTCACTCTGCTTCAAAAAGGCCTTCTCAGTCTACAAGCAGAGACGATGATGCAGCACAACTGGGCAAAATAGTGCAGGCTTGTGTTACGGTTTGCAATCAGTTTGCCCAGAAGGGGCTACAGGCTAATGCTGCCAGCCTTATTGCCAACACTCCTGGCATCCCCGATACAGAAGTGCTGCCCCTTCTCTTAACACCTGATGCTCAGGTAATGGATGCTACACCGGGTCCTTCAGTGGTTTCAGCTGTGGAGGCTGGACACCCCACTATTGCCAATGTGTGGGATCTCCTGAAAAGGGTCCCTGGTGTGGAGATTCAGGGTGTGTCTGCCCCTGTTTCTGAGCAGCCTACTATGGTGGATTTATATAACCGCTTGCGAGGAGTGGTTCTTCCAGGTGCTGGTACAATGGAGCAGAACCTTGATGTGCAAAGAGGAGATCAAGTTGCTGCTGCTTCATCTTTGCCTGACACCCGAGCTGTTGTGGGGCCACACTTTGGGGGACCAGTGTGGTTGGCTGGTGGTGCTTCCCAGCAAGCTTTATTTTCAGGTTTGTCTCCTACCAATATTGCACATGCAAACTGGCCCACCTCGGTATGGGCTCCAGGTTTCTAGTTTATTCATGATGTGGGTGTGGAAAGACCCAACCCTGCGGCTTTGGATACAAATGTTCAGGCACCTGTGGTTTCACAGGTCCCTGACTGTAGGGTGCAGGATGGGCGCCCAATTGTTTTGGCTAACAACACCTCTCTGGTGTCTTCTTTGAGTGCTCCTATGTTATCAGGAGTAGCAGTGCATTCTGATTCAACCCCTTATGCTGGGATGTCTACACCCCTT